GCCACACTCCTTGTCTCTGTCATGTTGAGAACTAGGCTTCCAGCATGGGAAACCCTGGGGGACAGACCACATGCCAATCTGTTGGGTCGGCAAAGGGGGTACAAGGACAACACCTATGAATGTGTACCCACAGATGCGTTCACCAGTCTCGACTCACAGATGAGGGACCTACACACATCAACGCTTGAGCAAAAACATGGAAGCCTTAGAACTTTCTGCCTTGAGATACTTTATGTTTGAAGTAACTGAGACAGCATGCCCAGTCACCTAGGCATCCATGGGCTTATTTCTTCTGTACACCTCCCTGTGAAGAAGCAGGTACTGATGCTGACTCAGTAGCTCAAGAGCATCAGAGTTTGGGCTGAAATTGGTATTTTCATGATTTTCTTGGCATTTTTCCTCATGCCGTAATGTGGCAGCCATGAGAATGTGGGGGACTAAAGTTCATTTCATGTGCAGGCCCATGTGGAAAATCACCTAGAGAGGGCATCAGAAGGAGGAAGCGAAAATGGGTGTTTACCTGGAAAAGGAGTGCAAAGAAAATTAATGGATGGGAAAGCACGTCAACTCATAACCCTACGACTCCCAATATTTTCTTAAAAATAGAATTCTGGTGTCCGCTAGTCCTGTGCTTCCTCCTCAAGACTCCTGCTTGGTTAGTGCACAGGGTGTGTCAGAACCACCTGGGAGTGTTTTAAACCTCCTAGTTCTGCTTTCAGAGATTCTAACATAGCAGACCAACAATAGAGATTTGGAATGCAAATGTTTCTATTGTTATTTTTTTTTTCAGGTCAGCTTGATTTCTAGCCAGGTCTAAAAATCACTAACTGTCACAAAATACAATATAGGTTTTGGTATTGTGGGTTTGTGGAAGTATTTGCTATTAGTTTTTCTTTCTTTTTTTCTTTGTTTTTGGCAGAACCAGGGATTGAACTCAGGCCCTTGTGCTTGCCAGGCAAGCACTTACTCTACTGAGCTATCTCCCCTGCCCTGGAAGTATTTGTTTTGTATTTGCTTTTCTTATTTCTAAATTTTCTTATGTGTGTTACTTTTATAATAATAAATGTGTCCAAGGAAATTATTCATGAGTACAAGATTTTAAAGACTCCTATGGAAACTGTGTTTTTAATTTACTAAATGTGAAAATGAAAATGAAAACATCCTATCGAAGCATATGTCACGTAGTTATTTTTTTAAGGAGAGGCTACTCATAAATCAATATGTGAGCAATCTTTATTTTTTTGTTTTTTAAAAAAGTTTCAGATTCTTTTCATACACCAATATAGCCACGTATTAAAGAATACAAAACAGATTAAATCCTAATTATCTTTTACTTCTTTTGCTTTGGCAAGAATAGAAATATACCAATGTTTATAAAAAGACTAATCATTCAGTAACCT